TGGGAAGTATAACTCATGATTGAGGTAGATAAGAGAACTCTGGTAAAAGAAGTTCGCCAGCCACGATAGGAGTTCGACTTCGGGCTCTAAAGATGACGGAGTTGTTGTCTAGAACAGGACTTGTTCCCCCTTAGTAGCCGTTGAAAAAGGAGAAACAACTTATGATCCCTACGTGTTGCAGTTGAAGAGGAGATTCACAAGTATAAGATGATGGCTTTTGAATAAGGGGGAGATGATAGGACTTTGAGGTACTAGGACAGATTGTGTGTCCCAGTAGATGGACTTAAAGAGGGAAGATCATGTTAGAAGCCCATAATTCTAGGTATTCTTTCCATACAGGTTCCCAAATATGCATCATGACAAGGAGATTTATCATTTGAACGACACAAAAAAGAACGTTGTAAACTTTATGGCCAGGCAAAGCATTTTATTTAAGCAGTTGAGGATATGTCCTTGATGTTAAGAGTAATTGGGATGATCACATACCTCTCATTGACCTTGCTAATAATAACCTACCATTCTAGTATCATGATGGAACCGTACGAAGCTATGTATGGGTGAAGGTGTAGATCACCAATTGGTTGGTTTGATGTAGGAGAAGTGGAGTTGTTAGGACCCGATTTGGTCTATCAGACTATAGAGAAAGTTAAGTTGGTTCAAGAGCGTTTGAAGAAAACTTAGAGCCGCCAAAATGTCCTATTCGAGCGTGCGGCATAGAGACCTAGAGTTTCAAGTTGATGATTAGGTGTTTCTGAAAGTTTCGCTTATGAAAAGCGTTATGAGATTTGGGAAGAAGGGAAAGCATAGTCCCTACTATATTGGTCCATATAGAATCTTGCGAAGGATCGGTCAATTAGCTTATGAGTTGGAGTTGCCACCAGAATGAGTGGTGGTACAACCGGTATTTCACGTATCATATTATAACATTCAAGTATCCAGTACTCAGATACTCATGTCAGTTTAGTACTCAGATAATCATGTCAGTTCAGTACTCAGATACTCATGTCAGTTCAGTACTCAGATACTCATGTCAGTTCAGTACTCAGATAATCATGTCAATTCAGTACTCAGATACTCATGTCAGTTCAGTACTCAGATACTCATGTCAGTTCAGTACTCAGATAATCATGTCAGTTCAGTACTGAGATACTCATGTCAGTTCAGTACTCAGATACTCATGCCAGTTCAGTACTCAGATACTCATGTCAGTTCAGTACTCAGATACTAATATCAGTTCAGTACTCATATACTCATGCCAGTTCAGTACTCAGATACTCATGTCAGTTTCAATACTCAGCTATTCATGTCCGTTCAATACTCAGCTACTCATGTCAGTACAATACTTAGATATTCATGCCAGCTTAGTACTCTGATATTGATGTTAGTTTAATCCTCAAATATTCGCGCCAGTTCAATATTCAGATATCCATGTTAGTTCAGTATTCACGTATTCATGGCAGATCAATATTCAGTCAATGCAGTAAAGTTCAGTATCTCAGCAATTCAGTAATCATGTATTCATTATGTTTAGTATGCAAGTGTTAATGAAAGTTCATGGTTCCACCAGACCCGTTTAAGGTCCGGAGTTAGCAGAAGTTACAGTCAGGACAATCATTCGAGGACGAATGATCCCAAGGGGGAGATAATGTAACACCCCGTACATTCGGACTAGGTATGGATATGTTAAATGGGTATTAATTTGATATTTTAGACATATGAAGTCCTAGCGGGATGATTGTGGGTGAAAATAGTTGTTTCAAAATCAAGATGGAAAGTGGGGTGCATAAGATTTGAGAAAATCGACTAAGTTTGCAGAAGGTCTGTATTCCATCAGCGTTTAGTGAAAATGTGTAAGGAATTTGAGAAACCTTAAAGCATGAAAGTTGTAGGCCTTTGAAAAATATTATAGAGCCCGAACGGATCTCTGTGCAAAAGGTTATGTGCGTTTTTTGGAACAGTACGCGTATACGCGAACACTCGCGCGAACAAGCCTTCAGGTGCGCGAACTCGCGCGTGGGAGGCAGTGTTACTGCCGTTGAGCGCGAACTCTCGTGCGAACAGGCCTCCAAGTGCGTGAACTCGCGCGTGGGGGTCGTTTTAAAGCTATATTTCGTCCCCCACAGCCCCAAAACATAAAAACTTGCTCTAGAAAGGGGAACTCTCAAAAACCTAACTCCTTAAGGGTCCTTCCACCACCCAAGGTAAGTTCTAGTGGTGATTTTAAGTTAATTTCAATTTCCCAACATCTTATTAACATGGGTAAACCCTCCATATCATTAGATATTCGATTGGGACACCATTGTTGAGAGAAGAAATCCTAGAACTCGAATTCAAGAAGATTGAACGTCAAAAAGGTAATATCTTCACCCTCTAATTAATTCTAACATTGGTTTAATGATTATAAACCCTAGTTCATGAGATATGAGTTGATGGGTTTGATAGAAAAGCATGAAAAATTATAGGATTGGGTTGTTGATTGTTGATTATTGATTAAAGATATCGTTTATCTTATGGGTGATAAAGAAGGGTATTGAACATAGCAATTTGATGCTTTAGAATTAATCTAGGAACAAGAGAATGAGTCATTGGGTGTAGAGACACCATTAATAAGGACTATGAAGCTTTATTTTCACCAAGTGTTTGATAAGATGCTTAAGTGACCAAAACATGAGAATCATTGCTAATATGGAATCCCTTTGACTTGTTTTGATTTAGATTAAAGTTGAAAGGGGTTGACAAAAGTTGTATTATGCTCAAGAGCAGGAAGTTAAGGTATGTGAGTCTAACTCTCTATGTTTGGGAATTTTAATGATTCTCCCTACCCTACGTTTCTTTTACAACGTATCAATTGCCTCAGAAATACAGTTAAGCCTAGTTCCTTGAATAGTTGTAGAACTTCTATTCCCTAGCTTCATAACTCGTTCATGACTTTCATTCTAACGTTGTGAGCTCAGTTCGTATTCAATATAGACTTGGGTTTGATTCCCCGAAGTCTCAGTATAGCTTACTCAGCATGTCATAAACAGTTGCAGTTTCAGTGTTCATAACCAGTTCAAGAATACATGTCTCATTCCAGTCCTATTCAGTATTCCAGTATTATGTAACTCAGTAGAATTCAGTATTCCAGTATTATGTAACTCAGTATGATTCAGTATTCCAGTATAATGTAACTCAGTGTGATCCAGTATTCCAGTATCATATAACTCAGCGTGATTCAGTATTTCACTATTATGTATTGCAGTATGATTCTCAGTTCCTGATTTTAAATCCCTGAATGTTGAACACCTATCTTTGGGCCTGAGGCCGCAGCTAATGTTTTATGCATCTTTGGGCCTGAGGAAGCAGTTTATGCTTTATGCATTTTGGACCTGAGGTCGCAGTTATGTATACGTATAATTGGGCCCGAGGCCGCAGCTTGTGCACATATATATATATATATATATATTGGGCCTGAGGCTGCAGTTTAATATTCAGATAAGCAGGTTGTTCATCATTCAGAAGAGGGAGTATTCATATCCTTACTTCCTTTATTCAGTTCAGTTATCAGTTATCAGTTATCTTTTCAGTTATCAGTTCAGTTATTAGTTATCAATTATCAGTTCAGTTATCAGTTATGAGTTATCTTTGCAGTTATCCGTTCAGTTACCAGTTCTCACTTCAGTTTTAGTTTCAATAGTTATCATTTCAGTTATCAGCTTAGTTTTAGTTTCAGCATTTATAATTCTTTCTTTCAGTTGCTTTACATACCAGTACAATTCAAATGTACTGACGTCCCTTTTTGCCCGGGGCCTGCATCTCACAATGCAGGTAATGATTAACAGGTTGATGATTCAGAGCGCTAGGATTCTCGTACCGGCTAATTTGGTAATCCCCAGTTCTTTCGAGGCATTATCATTACCTTACAGTTTTTAGTACTTAAAGGCAGTCAGTATTTTCAGTATATTATTAGAGGCTTCATAGACTAGAGTAATAGTTAGACAGAGTCACAGACTTTTCATATTAAGCCATGTTGGCTACAAATATGTTTCAGAATTGTATTAGTATTTTCGCACTTTGATTTATATCATCCACAATTTTCAGTATATCAGCATGTGTTAGTTTATCTTCTGCATTCAGTATGTTATGATACCACATGTTGATTCAGCCAGCCAGTTGGTTCGCTCGGCCACATGTAGTCGGGCGCCGAGTGTCGTGTTACGTCCAGGCCCAGGTTCGGGGTGTGACACTGATAAAAGCAATAGGGTGCCCTTGCTGTATTAGAACAGCCCCTATACCATGTCCATTTGCATCAGTTTCAACAATAAAGGTCTTGTTAGCATCAGGTAATGCCAATACTGGAGCTTGAATCAATGCAATCTTTAGTTGTTCAAAGGCTTCTGAAGCAGCAGGTGACCATTTGAAATTATCTTTCTTGAGGAGGTCAGTTAATGGTTTGCTAATGGAACCAAACCCTCTGATAAATCTCCTGTAGTAACCAGCTAGCCCAAGGAATCCTCTAAGTTGTTTAACATTATTAGTTACAAGCCACTCCTTCACAGCTTCTATCTTTTGGGGATCTGTTGAAACCCCTTCAGCAGTAACAAAATGCCCCAAGTATTCTATTTTTTGAACCCCAAAGAAACATTTGCTCTGCTTAGCAAATAATTGATGCTTCTTCATTTCTCCAAAAATAGATTTCAAGTGTAACAGATGATCATCCATGTTGCTGCTATATATTAGTATGTCATCAAAAAAGACCAAGACATACTTCCTAAGGAACTTCTGAAAAACTGAGTTCATTAATCCTTGAAAAGTTGCAGGAGCATTTGACAAACCAAAAGGCATTACTAAATACTCATATGACCAGCATGAGTTCTAAAAGCAGTCTTTGGTATATCTTCAACTGCCATTCTTAGTTGATGATAACCAGATCTCAAGTCTATTTTTGAGAAGATTTTAGATCCTCCTAGTTCATCCAGTAAATCTTCTACAATGGGAATAGGGAATTGAATTTTTACTGTTTACTTGTTCAAATCTCTATAATCGACACACAGTCTCCATGTACCATCTTTCTTTCCAACCAAAACCACAGGTGCAGCAAAGGGACTGCTACTTGGTTGGATAATACCTTGATCTAGCATCTGTTTTACTAAGGTCTCAATAACATCCTTCTTGACTGAGGGATACCTATATGGTCTTTTATTTATAGGTTCAGTTCCAGTTTGAAGGACAATCCTATGATCAAACACTCCTCTAGATGGTGGCAATTGAGTAGGTTCTTTGAACAATTCCTTAAACTCATTTAGCAAGTTGAGTAGTCTAGGATCTTGTTCAAATGTCTCCTTAGTTTCCACATAACAACATTGTACTTCATTACACATAGCAGGCATTACTTGTATCATGCATAATTCAGATTGTTTACCTGAAATTCTGGCCAACTTTCCAGCTCCAGGAGTCAGAATTTGCTTTCCTGATCCTCTAAGTACATGCTTCCTTCCTTTGTAATAGAACTCCATGGTAAGTGTTCTGAAGTTCATTTTTATATCCCCAAATGTTAATGACCACAGAACTCCTAATACCACTCCACAAGATCCCAATGGTAGTAGCAAGAATTCAGCAGAAAATTCAGCTCCTTGTAGGAGCCAAGAAGTTTTGCAAACTTTATCCACCTTCAACATGTTCCCATTGGCTACTGCTACCAGTTGTGGTGTAGTTGCTCTCACAGGACATTTCAATCTCTCTACTAACTCAGGATCCATAAAATTGTGAGAGCTTCCTGTGTCCACTAAGATGTGCAAGGGTTTTTGAGAATGATACCCTGTCACTCTTAGTGTCCTGTACCCCAGTGATCCATTCAGAACATGAATGGAAATTCCCACCTGCTCCATTGGTTGTGTGAGTTCCATCTCCTGCTCTTCTAGTTCATTCACTACTTCCTCTGAAATCAACCCTTCTTCTGGTTCTTCCAATTCAAGCAAGTATATCTGCTTCAAATTCTTACATGTATGCCCTACTACATATTTTTCATTGCAAAAGTAGCATAGGCCTTTAGCCCTTTTTTCATTCATCTCTTCTAGACTCAAAGTTCTCCTGTTAAATCCTTTAGAAGTCCCAGCATTCCTTTGGCTAGGAGTTGGTAACAATGGTCTGCTATTGATTCTTTGATCCATGACCCTTCTGGTAGCACTTGCTGGTACATTGCTAGTTGAAGAAGGCAGTCTAATAGCAGCTAAATAGGCCTCTTGCATTCTAGCAGTTTTGTACACCTGCGATAGGGTTGTGGGATTGGTGAGTTTCACTGCAATGTTCAATTCATGTTTCAGTCCACCAAGAAAACAACTGATGGCATTTTCTTGTGATAGATTCACCCTTGTGAGATTCCTTTCAAAAATAGCTTGGTACTCCTTGACAGTACCTGTTTGTCTGATCTTCTTGATTTCTTCCATGGGATCTTCAAAGTCGACTGCAAATCTCTCCACCAATGCCATTACATACTCAGTCCATGTAGCTGGCTGAAGATATTGTCTATATCTCATAAATGCTAAATGCCAATGTATAGCTTCACCTTCTAACTGTATTGCTGCAACCCCCACCCTTTCTTCAGCAGGAACCTTTTCCATAGAAAAGAACTGCTCAATTTTGAATAGCCAAGACTTCAGATCTTCTCCATTAAACCTCAAGAATTCCATCCTTGACCACCTCGAGAAATTAGAATTGTGGTGGTTATAATAGCCAGGACTCCATTCTCTTGGTGACCTTTCATCAGATGGTTCGCCTTCATGTTGCATAGGTGTTTTGTCCCTTCGATTTTCTCCAGAATGATTCAACTGTTCCTTTAGTTCAAGAACAGTTTGGTCCAAACGTTTCAGATTTGAAACTTCTCCCGATAAAGCCCCAACTTCTGCGATTAGCTTCTGCATCAATTCACGTAGATCCCCTGGTTCTTCTGTGGCTGTGTCATTCAATCGAGCACCTTTCGCCATGATTTCCGAGGATGATCAACTCTGATACCACTGTTACTCAATTGCAGGAATTCAGCAAGGAATTCGAGGATCGAGCAGTTGTTCAGGAGTTCAAGGACTCGAGAATTCAGCTATGGAGTTATGAGGAAGAAATATGAAGAGAAGAGAGAGGGATAGAAAGAGATTTTAGAGGAAAAGTGTAATAGTTTCATAGATGATCTGGTAACTGTGAATTACATTGCTATATAAAGATTGAAACGACTACTGCTCATTACAATTGAAAGAATCCTTCTCTATTGTTCTGTCTAACTAACTCGACTGATTTCTAACTAACTTTTAACTCCTTCTAACTAACTTTTAACCACCAAGCTGACGTGGCATTGAGCTGGATTATTTCTTGAATTTACTGTGTAATTTGTCTATCAAAACAAGAACGTTGTTTCCCCCTCTCCATTGTCACACGTTAGAGAAGATACCTCTCTCCCTCTTTCATATGGTATCAGACAAGCTAACTCCTCCATCCCTATCTCTGGATACAGAAGCTAATCTACACACAATATAGATTAACCCTCTTAGATTCACGGCTAGGGAGACCCATAGAAAGAATCTCAAGTTCACTCTTGCAAAAGGGATTTCAAAAGCTAAAATTTCAGGCCGAGATCTAAAAAGCTCTCTGGAAGATAGAGCAAAACTGAGGTCTCAAAAGGTTTGCAACCAGTCATTTATTACTTCCGATTTGCTGGGTTTCTAAGAGGTGAAAACCCGTGTGCTTTACTGTTGCTTATTAGCTCGTGCTGTTAGCTGAGCTCCACCCCGCTCTCTTCCTCCGTTCTTCTGTAGAAATCCGTCATTTTTCTTGGCAATCGAGGTACTGTTTTATCCAACGAAGATACGCTAATTTAACTGAGACTTATGCTGATATTGTCCCTATAATTGATGATTTAGATTTTGCCAATATTGATATAAACTTTGCTGAGTATTCTCGCTTTTCTTTATTCTAAAAAAGTATGAAATTTTATGTTGATGGTCTGAAATGGTGTTTTATGGCATAGCTATTTGCTGTAGGTTGGAAAAGATAAATTGTGGATTTCCTTACTTCCTATATGTACAATAAAGCCAATGCATAGTTTTCTGTGATTGAGGATTTCTTTTTTTCAAATATCTAAATTCTCAATATGAGGTCTATGTTATGCGGCTTGTGTGATTTATTTTTGTTCAGTTCTGTTGAATTTGTTTGATGCGTTTGTGATAGCGGCTTTTGGCGTGAAAGCCTTGACAATACTTAAAATCATGTTTTCAGTGGAGTGAGAGCGCTGATGTATATGTGTGAGGCTCTGTGTTTGTAGTGTAATATATATGTATTTTTTTCTCCAGGGATTGTCCATTTTTCCACTATTTGTATTTGGTGTAGTCTCTTTATTTTAGAGTTATTTCTGCAATCTTTTCTCGTCTACTTTGCTCTCTTTATGTTAGTCTCCTATTTTATAGGAAGACCCAACAGGAATTTGGAGTTAAATGGACTCCAATATTACACTGTTCGGCCATTGCCTTCTATGGGGACTTGTCCATGGAAAACAAGCAATTTGAGGAACCGATTATGATTATCCCTAGTCGACTGTCGCCGAAGTTCAATCACAAATGAACTCCACAAATTTTGCCCCACAACAATCTCAAATTAGTTTTAAGAAAATCTTTAACATCGTAGCTTGCTTCAGGCGCTTAATTAAATCTCACGGCTATGGTACGGTTCCCGTGGCATAGTCGTGATACCTAATCCCCAATTCGGGTGTGCATTTCATGTGACCCGATCATAACAACTTCAAATATTAATAAAATAAATGTGTCACAAATCGCGGGTGCATTTCATGTAGCGTGGTTCGCGGTGTGATCCAAAATAGCAAGTGTACGACAATCGTAACTTGTTCAAGAAATAATTCCATAAATCCTAAAAAGCGATTTTAATTTAATTAAAAGCGGTTATAATATTAAAATGCACAATAGGTTTAAAACATGTAGTAAATCAAATGATAGGCCAATATTTATAGTTAAAGCGACCGTGCTAGAACCACGGAATCCGGGAATGCCTAACACCTTCTCCCGGGTTAATACAATTCCTTATCTAGAATTTTTGGTTCGCAGACTTATAAAGTAAAGTCGAAATTTCCTCCATTTGGGATTTTAAAATAAACCGGTGGCTTGGGACACCAAATAAACTATTCCAAGTGGCGACTCTAATTAATTGAATTAAATAATCCCATTTCAATTTATGTCACTTTAATTGGAAAAACTCTCATATCCCCCTCTCGGGGTGTAAAAAGGAGGTGTGACACATATCAGCATTTAGTTCTCCAAATTAATGCACAAAACATGGTCGCGTCCGTTGGGATTGTGGAAAACCCGATGGACTTTGGATAAGGCTTATCTTAAAGGATCATTATGTGGACAACATAACCGATCGGACTAGGTTTGACCATGATGCATGCACAATTCAAACAAAGTAAGGTTTCTATGGGGTTTTAGACCGGTACCCTCAAGCGGACAACTTGAAGGGGAAGGCACGGAACCGTCGACTGCACCGCTGATCGACTAGTTTTACCGCAAATAAGCCTTTCCGAATTTAAGGGTAGTAAATAGGAAGAGCGCAACGACTCATTAAAGTGTTGCTATAGGATTTGAGACGCACGAGTGGAATATGATGCAGAGCATGATTTATACAGCAATTAATAACAAGTAGACAAGTATTCTCACGTAGGAAAAATAAATACAGTATTTAAATAATTGAAAAGATAGTTACAGAAAAAGGAAAACAAAGAGACAACTCAGTTTTTAGGGTAAATAAGAAATCATAAATGCTTGAAAAATAGACAGTTAAATTCAAATAAGGGAGAAGGGAATGGGAAAAGCATTCTTGGACTAATTTGTAGAAGGCAGGTTCGTTATGGTAAGAGCCTAAAAGTCCCTAGCAGAGTCGCCATGCTGTCGCACCCACTTTTCTCTCCCCTTTTTGACGGGGGAAGAGGTCCGGGTTTTGACATTCACGGGGTGTAATGACTCATTTCCTTTTTGGAAATTGGGTATTTGAAGAGTCGCCACCTAACGGATTATGGTGCGTTAGGGCACCTAGCGCGATTAACTCTTGCGTTGGTAAGCATTACCAGAGATTAGGGTAAGGGCTCGAAGTAATCTCGAGGGGAAGGTGTTAGGCACCCCTCTTGGTCCACAACTGTGGGTCCCGGCCGAACTTATATTCACAAATTAGTCCATATAAACAGTTGAATCAAACAAGTTGCAAGTGAAGCACGTTAGATAACTCAAGTAACAAGATAAAGGTTCGAACAAATTGTAAAACAAAGGTTTAAATAAAGAGAGGATTTGGGTAAGGAGGGGTCCTAGGTTGGTTATCCTATAGGATCACCCCACACAATGTCCGGTAAACACTCCTCAATGAGGGGCTACACGTGACATTAACGCGTAGTCATCATATCCCATGTCTACCATTCCCATCCTCTTATAGGTCATGTAAAGCGAGTGTTTGGTCAATGATTCCTATTGCATGCTGCTACCCGTTCCTTCTTAATGGTCCTGGAGGAAGTTAGGACCTCTACTTATAGGTAGTTCTAGACGTACCCCTAAGGTTTAGAAAGGTGAAAATTCTAGGGCGACAATCAAAACATTTAGGACTTTCACATATAATGGGAGCAATTAAGAGGCTCAGAGTTCCTCCTCAAACAAAACACACAAGCAGCACGACTCAGACAAAGTTAAGGTCTTTATTAATCAATGTCCTAAAGCAGGATATCTAAGTGAATATGCAGAAACAGACAAAACTTTTTTACTCAGAATTTATGACTTAGTAGTTTCCTAGGGACTCCTTTTAAAAGCCTGTTAGAAATGTTAAGCGACAGAGACAGTTTCAGAGAAATGCAATTAAAAAAAATGCACTAAGGCTTGCCTATATGCAGAATACTGGTGTCTATGTTAATACAGAAACAAACAGATTTTGAAATAGACTCCTTTAATACCTATAGGCATGATATCTAATGAGGTTGAGGCAGTTTTGAGAGAAGTTGTTTCAAGGAATGATTAATACTTAATAAGACCAGTTTAAAAAATGAACTAGGCGTAATGAAGTTGATTTAGTAGACCAAATTAAATTATTAGACAGAATTGCGAGTAGAGATCCCTCTAGGCATGATATCTAGTCGTAGTACTGATTGTGAACGATTTGCAGGCATAAAAGCATACATAAATACTCATTGTGACTGAAATTGGATCAAGTCCTATACGCATGGAATCTATTATTAAACTGATTTTAAGACACGATTGCTTGAACCTATAAGCATGATTTCTAACGTGACAGAATATAAAACCTTATAGACATAGTTTCTACTTGATGAGCAAACAAATTTATGAATGAAATCATATAGGCATGATTTCTATTAGGTTTCAATCAGATTTCAAAAGTAAAGCCTATGAACATGTTTTCTATTAAGCCAAGCAAACAGATTAAAGAGTAAACCTATGAGCACGTTTTCTATTTAAGCAAAGCAATCAGACTTTAAGAATAATGTCCTAAGAGCAGGATTTCTACCTGTATTACCCCAGAAAGTATGCATCTACCCACCCTGTTTTACTAAATACCCCAAATATCTGTTTACAAATATTACAGGCCAAGTGAATGAATTACATGAGTAAAATATAAAATGAAGAAGCTATTCTATAGGGAGCCTTCAATTAGGCCCAAGTTTCCCAAAGCCTCCAATGGTCTCATAAGCCTCAATTCCATAGACAAATCAGATTCTAGGAGCATCAAAGTTCCCTAAGGGTCTCAAAGACCCCGGGCAATGCTTACACCTAGACTTTGCAACCAAGAATTGAACCAGTGCAGTGTGGAAAGGCCAGCTTCAGTATGACAGAGTTCAGAGGGCTCTCAAGAGGATCCCAAGGCAGTACACACACTAGAGGGGGCAGAACTTATTGAGTAAGAGTAAAGTGAATGTGGAGGACAGAAGTTAAAAAAA